TGCGGACCCGTGAGATGGACGAAGCAGCTCGGCAATTGGAAGTCGCATCGGTAAACGTTCACGGTGCACCGTCAATCATATCGGGAGACATCGAGTTCTTCAACTCCCGCTTTGCCGAAGCCCTAAGGTACTTCTCAATACGTTTTGAACCCGGTCCAGCCAGACGTCATAACAAATTCGGCGTCGTGGAGCGGAAGAATGCGGTTGTCCGTGTGCTTATCCAACGTCTTCTAAAGGATGCATCAAACTCCTCGGCGTGCAGTATTGACTCAGTTGAAAGGAAAGACGTGGTCTCACGTGCCGTGTATCTGAGCAACATCCTATATGGAAGCAAGTCAATGAGCAGCTTCGAGATGACTCGGGGTTACATCCCCTCGCCTGTTGGTCTCCTTCAAGCAAAGCTGTCCGCTGATCTCATCACTGCGCATAACGAGCAAGTGGCACGAAGAGATTTGAGGCTTCTCGACAAGTCGCGATGTCCACAAGTGCTTCAAGCCGCCCAGTTTTCACGTGATGACCCGGTGTATTACTTCAAGAGAGGCCCAAAGTTTGGCTCGTGGGAACACGCGTACGTGCAGAACCCACAGCCCCACTTCGTCGTCCTTTCAAGGCGTCAGGATCACATTGGTAAGCCCATAAGAGCGGCATACGAGGACGTTCGGAAAGCTCCGTCATCCCCTCTACTTGCTGAGTTGGATGACATGGACTTCGTATTCCCACGGTCGTACTTCGTCATTGATGAGGACTTTGAAGACGGTATGCTCCCTCCAACATCGGCACCCCCTCCGCTCTTCTCGGAGTTAGAAGAGATGCCGAATGTGAGTGACAAGTCGCCTCCAAGCAGACCGGAAGGGTCTGCAGGGCAGCAGGAAGCGGCGAATGTAGACAGCCTTCCTGACTTGGAGCCCCCCGGCGATCTGACGGACATCTCTGAGTTCAGGACCGAAGAGGCTCTGTGGGCTTCCCACCCCATATCAAAGAGCTTATTAGCATCCTCAAAGCCGAAGAAGTTGAACAACCCTTTGTTAGATGTCAACACAAGGTCCATCGATCGCTGCAATTCCTTGTTTGGAACACGGTATCCAGTCTCAACTTCGAGTAGCACTCTCGATTTGAACTCAACTCACGAGCCCCCACAGCCGGAAAAAGACATCGGAACCACACAAGTTGTAGCTCCGTCGAGGCTGCCTTTTCATCTTGCATCGTCGAAGCAAAAGGTCTTTCAACAAATTCAGGAAGTGGTTGGGAACAAGCCCACCTCTGAATTCAAACTCCAATTTGCTCCGCGATGGATAGTTGATCAGGCCATAGCCGAGGAGAAAGAAAACTACGCACAAGCCGAGGCATACAAGGAAGTCCCCTATGGGGATCTCCCACAACATGTCAATGTGATTTCTTCCCACCACTTCTTCCAAGTCAAGACCGACGGAGAAGGAGGAAAGCTGAAGCTAAAGTGTCGTCTAGTCCCACACGGGAACCGGGATCGAGACAAAGAGTTCGTCCGGAAAGACTCGGCGACAGCGCAGTTCCCTATAATTCGCATCGTTCTCTCTGTCGCGGCAATAATGTCTTTCTCAGTTGCCTCCATTGACATCAAAGGAGCATACTTGCAAGCTGGCCACTTTCCCCGCGACATATACGTCCGACCCCCGAAAGGTTGGGTATCTTCTGCTCGAACAGTCTGGAAGATACTCAAGCCGGCCTATGGAATTGTAGAATCCGGACCCCTATGGCAACTTGTCGCCCAGAAATGGATGTCCACGCAAGGGTTCGTACAAGTCCCAGGCCTTCTTCAGCTCTTCGCCAAATACAATGCCGAGGGATCGATAAACCTACTGGTCGCAAAGGTCGTCGATGACTTCCTCGTGGTTGGCGTTCTTCCAATCATCCATCAATTTCACGAAGCTATCTCTCGCCGGTTCATTGTCGGACGCTACGTCGTGAACAAGGACTTGATCTTCAATCGTCTTCATATCCACCAGGAGCCTTCCGGCTCTTTAAGCATTAATATGCAAGAGTACGTGGACAAAATTCTTCCGATCGACGTCTCAAAGGAAAGAAGAAGACGACACCAAGACAAGTGCACCGCTCCAGAGTTGACTTCATACCAAGCTCTCGCTGGAAGTCTCAATTTCCTCGGACATGGCATTCTCCCGCAAGCGGCTTTCGCAGCCAGCTACCTTCAGCAAGCCGTTGGGCGCTTGAAGGTGGCCGATCTTATAAACGGGAACAAGTTGCTTGTGGAGATCAAAGCGCTTTCCCCAACGCTCCTATTTCGAACGCCGTCGTCTCTCGTCAATCCTTCCTACCTCGCTTTTTCTGACGCCAGTCAAGGTAGCTCCTCATACGGGCAGACAGGGTATGTCTCCGGCCTATACCTGCCAGCAGGGGGTGCGGGGATCTACCACGTCCTTGACTGGATCATTTGCAAGCAGAAGCGTGCTGCCTTTTCATCTATGGGGGCAGAGATTCTTGCCGCCGCAACGTCATCAGACAGAGGCTCGCTAACGGCAGAGAGCCTGCAAACTCTTCACAAAGCCCCAGTCAAGCTTCCCTTCGTGCTGACGGTGGACTCACACGGGTTGTACGCCACCGTGACCACCCTTCACGAAGGTGCAGACTACCGCTTGAGTCCGACGGTAGCAAGGATGAGGGATTCCTTCGAAGACGGGGAAATTTCAGTAATGCAATGGGTAAGCGGTACGCAAAACCCTGCCGATGCATTAACCAAGAGGAACGAAGAAATGTTCAAGATCCTCAATGGAATCATGCAGAAAGATCTTCTAGAAGACGAGGTTCTTCAAGGCTCAAGGCGGATCAAAAGTGCATCGAGCACGCCAATGTAACTCTCGAACTCGTTTAATCGCTGTCGTCTTCCACTACCCTCATCCTCTTCGTCCTTCTACCAACCGAATCATTGTTCATGTGATTCTTCTTTGTCTTCCTGCTTTCGCTGCGCTGTTTTCCAGACTTCCTGCGATTCTTCTTCCCCTTCCCGACTGGCTGCAATTCAAGCTTCCGAACTTCAGCAATTTCAAAGCCATCGCAAACAATTCCAAGGCACTCACCCAGCACTCCGGGGCGATTATCAAGCGCAAAGAGCTCAACCGGATCTAGAACGTGGCCTTTTTGGGCGTCAAGAACTACTACGTGGTCTAAACGTTCACCTAGGTCGTCCAGAGCGACGATTCTTATTAAAAAAAATGCCGTCCACCTTGTTGACCATCCACTCCACAAGACTTTCCAGCACGGGGACGCTGCATTTCTTGAGGCGATACCTCCCGAGATGCTTTTCATTCCAGGCCTGTAACTCTGCAAGGCTTCGAGCTTTGATGGGTCCTTTGCGCAGCATGGCAAGTGCCGGATCTTCTCCTACAACGGAGTGTAGCGCGTTAGCGAAGGAAGCACGCACGCACTCGCTGTGTGTTGCGCGGCAGAAGAGTGCCTGGTGCGTACGATAAGGCCTAGTGAGTCCGGTGGCTTCGCGATGCCCGGGACCCCCAGTAACAACAAAATCGTCTTGATGACTGGCACAGTACTCATCCAGCCATTCCAAGGCTTGTGCTGTCTTCCGAGTACCAAAGACGAGCTCAACTTCGGAGTTTCCCTGCCCACCCGGACAAGTCACTTCCATGTCGCTGGTAACTGGGCTTCCTGCCGAATCGAATACGGACAACACGCTGGCCTGGAGGGTATGGAAGTCCACTTTCCAAAAGGTCTTGCGCCCGCCTACGCTCCGATGTGAAGCGCAGTACTGACCCGGGCGGAAGCCGTGAGTCCTTCCGGAAGCCATCACCACCCTTCGAACCTCCCAGCGGCGCTGCTCGTGCTCCGACAGGCCCGTTGCGTTAAGCAAATCCCATCTCTCCAACAACGCAACCTGAAACATCCTCCCTCTCCTATCCAACAGCCAACGTAGAAGAACCTTCGATGTTTCCGTCCCGATGCTCAGCCTCTGAGCAGTCCTCTCCCGAGTGAAGGTGAATTCGAGGCCCGGGCCAGGACGAGGACTTCGCTAGACCTCCACTTTCCTCCGAGCCACGCCATCATCTCGACCGCAAGCCTCCCCTTACCCTCAACGAGCCACAGGCCTGCCATCACGCAGGGAAGCGCACGACCCCCGATCCCTGGCTTGCCGGCACTCTTTAGGTTCGAGAAGGTCGCGCGCTGACTCGCGGAGGAAACGGCCCGTCGTTGGTGGAAGCTCGGAGGTGGGGAAGCAACGGCGCGCGGGAGTGATGGCGGAGAAGCGGAGCGGCGATGTGGTGTGAGAAGCGAAGCGGCGATGTGGTGTAAGAAGCGGAGCAGCGATGCGGTGCGCGAGATCAAGCGGACGCTGAACTGAGCCAGTGTATAGCGAGGGCTGGCGGTGGGCGTGCGCAGGTGGTGACTACCGGAAGCTGTTGGTCCGCGGTGGATTTGGGGGTCCGAAAGCTCGCGGCGAGAGAAGGGGGGAATAACTCAACAAGCAACCGCCCTTACCCTACGCAAATCTAGAAGGCCGCGTTGTCACGACAAGGGAGCGAGTACCGAGCAGCAGCGGCGCGGCGTCAGATCCATATAGGGTTGGCGCCGACGGCGGATCGGCCGGCGCCGCGTGCCCCAATTTTAGGGCCAACAGGGGGTGTGTGGGAAGATAGAAATTACAGTTTATTTGGTTAGCTCTAAATCTGGAAAAAAAGGGAAATTATCCGTTCGACGCGCCGGCAGAAAATCCGGATATATTCAAATCCGAGGGCGGTATCCCGACCGACCCTCGGGGGTAACTTGCTACCCTCCGACAGCGCCGGCGAAAAGTCTCGAGACTCGACATCCGAAGTATCCCCATCCCCCTCGCTCTCGCGACTCCTTTCCCCCGCCGCTGCGTGCGACGAGCGCGGCTACTACTAACCTCATCGTTCCCGTTCTCCCACAGTTTGAACAAGCAGCAGGTGGGATCGATAAAAAGGAATAGAAAGTAGCAAAACTGCTGAACAATGCAAAAGATACCTTGGAAAGCATTGGAAGGCGCACTGCTCGCCATTCTTCGACGATATTAATAGAGCTTTTATCATCCTCATTGTCAACAGAGTGGGGTGGCTCAATGCCAATTCTCGAGGTCCATACCAGCAAGATAACAACAGCATGTTTGGCCTCAGACGCAGTTGGAACACCATTGAATACCTTCACAACATATTATGCGCCATCATCATCTTTCTCAAGGCCGCTCAATCCGGCTTTCCATGGCACCTACTTGGACTATGCGGCGGATTGACCACATCATTCGAGCATATCAGCAAGAGCCCATACTTTCTCGCCTCCCCTCTTCGCCAGACATCTATATCCTGCTACGATAGCCTCATCCGCCCCTACCGTCTTCGCGAAGCTCGGTACTTTTCGTGCATCCTCCTCGTACTTGCGAAGCGCTTTGCAGTCCTCTGGAAGCTCCCAATTCTTCAGCGCCTTGCCGGCTACGACTACGTTATGCAGCATAGGTGCGATGGCAGTATCCTCCCTTGCAAACTGACAGCCTCCAAGGAACGATCCTTTCTCGTAAAGCCGCTGTGCTCGCGCTACAGTCCCGTTCAATTTCCGCAATTCTTCTTCCACTGCGCCACGTGCATCCTCCTGTCCACTCACCCAGTTGAGAAAGTGCCCATGGAATTTTATATAAGTAGCTGTGCTTACCGGAAGTGTTAGCACTTTCGCGGACGACAGACGCCTTTTGCCCTCCGCAGGACGGAAATGCTGCTTGATGTACGTCATGATGTGTCGAGAGTCCTCTACTAAATTTCCGTTATGGTACACCACGGGCGTCCGTTTGTCGGGGTGCAGTAAGTAATACCACCCAGGCTTGGACATAGGCGGGATCGCCACTGCCTGATACGGCACCCCGAGTTCCTCGAGTAAAATGAGGACGCGCTGGGAGTAGGGGCAATCCCCGTACTTTTGAGATAGCGTATCGCTATTTGAGTGCGCCTGAGACCCCTTCACATGCACCTCTACACCTCCACGAGGTAGTCGCAGTCGGTCCATCTTGCTCCCCACCATCGAGCGACGATCTCTGATTTTCGCCAGCTCTCTGTACAACAGATGAAGGCTTAGCGGAGCACGCTGCTCCTCGGAGTACGAAACCCCTCCAAGCTGAAGCCTTCTCCGCCGATAGAATGGAATGGCATGTGCCTGCGGCAACGGGTCGAAAAACTCGACCAAGTCCATCAAGGCCGACTGCGCGAAATACAGTCGTGACCCAACTCGATCGCATCGTCTCTTGCTTCGCGAAGTACGTCGCACGAAGGCCTCCAAAGTCTCAAAGTCTCGGATCACAGGCTTGTACCAGCGCGCGACGGTTGCATCTACTTCCAGAATACGAGAAAATTCTCGGAACGAAAGGACCGCGTCCTGCCCACGCCTCTCGTTTTCTGCTTTATCCACGAAATCCAATTTCCCGCTGTAGAGCTTGCGATGCAGGAGCTCGCCGAGGACAGCTTGTGCACGCGGTGTAACACGTAATGGGCCGGCGCGAAGAGCCGTTTGCCCATCAGGCGGGTGGAATAGATGCTCCGTCATCTGCATCTCGATAAGAATTTCGTCGCTTGCCGCAAATACACCTTGAATCCTACCAAGAATATTGCTTAAGACTCTATCTGCTGCATGGAAACCATAATCCAAAATAACGCTCTCCTGCTTGATAATCTCTACCATTGCGAAGTATCGACCGAGCAAATAGGCTGAATATGCTGGAGAAAGAGAGCTGTCAAGACCTTTCTTTTCCACGCGGTCCCAGTCTGAATCCACGATAGAGTGAATTCTGTCAGCGAGCTTTGCAGCGCTTTTCAGAATAGGGGCTGACAGCTCCATGTACTTCTTTCTCAGCAGCCGCTCAATTTCGTCTTTCTTAGCCCTGGCCGCCTTCTGCTGTGCGGCAATGGCAGCCATCTTATTGCGACGTGCGTTGTACCTGGTCCCTGAAATAGTAGATACGGTGGAGATGAGGGCGACGATTACCGGGGCTGGGACAAAGTGTAACAGCTCCCTGACGCGATCTGTTATAAAGCCGTAGGCCGTTCTGGTGACTGTGGACACGATGCCAGCCGGTAGTTCGATGATTTTCTTAAAGCTGTGGTTGACTTGCTCTAGTTGCGACTTTTCCTCTGGCATGACAGGGTTGGTGTTTCTTGACCCTTCGGGATTCTTACCCTCGCCGTCATCTGGTTGGCGCTTACCGGGACCGTCGCCTCCGTTTCCAGAAATGGCTGAGCCAGAACCAGAACCGGAGTCCAGCTGAGGCTCGTCTAACTCAGAGTCCGTTGCGGTGGGGGAGGAAGTGGGAGAAGAAGATTCCGGTTGTTTGTCCCGTGATGATTCGAGTTCCTCATTAGAGTTGGATGACGTCTGCGAATTCATCTGAAGCGCAACTCTACAGCTATGTGCAACGACTGGCTGGCGAGAGGTCGAAGACAAAACTGAAAGCGGGCGGCGCCACGACTGGGCGCATGACAAGCCTGGGAGCGAAAAGACAAATGCAGAGTTCATAGAGGCTAATCTGGAGATGCCTCACTTGGAGGCCGCGCAAGGAATCAGGAGAAGTCTTACCCTGGTTACCGAAGGGTAACCAGATGGAGAACGCCAGCTTAGGATATGAAGGCTGGTCAAAAGTTTTCTTCAGGTTTGACATGATGGAGAGGAGCATGCGGTGATTGGCCGGCTGCAAAATGAGGGCACAACTGTGCCCCGACTGATGACGTCGGCTCAGTAAGGCATGCAGTCTACAGCGCGCTGATTGGCCAGTGCGGGCGGCGTGGAAATACTGATCCCCACGTCTTCCCTGATCTTCTCAATAACAAGCTTGCTGCAGCCTATCGTCGACCAGGCCGTATCGAACCCCAGCCTGCCTCCCACCTTTGTTAACGTTCACCTCTCTCCGTCAGCGGTTCGATCCGCAATCGCCCGGTCAGGAAACGCCCCGCACGAAGTCGCCTTCGCTATCGAGTCCATCGACATCACTATGTTTCGCAAGTGCCCGGAGCAAACGTTGACCAAAGACGGCGCCCGCCGCTCATTGTTCCTCGACCTTCTGATAAAGCCAAGCCGTCCCATGATTATCTGCACAAACGGCCTTCTTTGATACTCGATCATGTGGAAACCCCGCTTCCTGAACAACTCCAAGTTATCAACATCCCTCTCGTCAGTGATTTTCTCCTTCTCCATCGTTACCTCCAACCCGGCCTCCTTGCGTTCCCACACTAGGCAGCACCAAGTCTTGTTGCCATCCGGCAAAAAAGGCGGCAAGGCCGCGCCCGTCGTTTTAACCTGCGCGATAGCTTTCCCGAGCAATGGGTCAAGCGGATATTCTGAGGCTGCAATCCTCCGTGCCTTGTTTTCGTCCCAGCGCTCACCCGAACTCATCATTTTCTGGTTCTCCCTCCGTTCTCTCAACTCCCTAAGATACATAGGACTGCGCTCCCTTTCGTCCTCCATAGCCCTCCTTCCTCTCGAGCTGTGCTTTCTATGAATCACCTTGTCCACTTCCTCTGGTGCTCCCAAAGAACAATTCCGAATAACCTGATATCCACTTTGCGAATCTCTCCCAATAATATTATGAAACACATGCCTCGCCAAGACCTCATAACGCAACTCTTTATACATCCCAGTCGGTACCCCCTCGTCCGACACGTCCTTGCGTGCGATTCGCCCACCGCCAAGCAGCTTGACCATCTTGGACCCCCACGTGTATGGCGGATCCTTTTCAAACACGACGTACAGCCAGGCGCAGCCCTCCAAGTCTACCGAGCGTGCCGCCGCGCATAGGACAGAATCAGCGCGCCAGGGTTCCCCGCTGTGCATCGCGCGCGCGTGAAACTGCGGCGTCTCATCCAGAAGCATCGCCAGCTCCAAGGTTTGGCCTGGCCACTTTTGTAGCATGAGTAGCATGGTCGCAGATAGAATGCTGTAGGTGTGGGCAGGAAGGTAAGAGCGATCTTTTTTGCCTGCGTTTTAGTGACAATGGGTGCCGCCGCGGGAAGAGGTCAAAAACGTATTCAGAGGATGCTCCTCAGTGCTTGTGTGCGTTGGAAGAACACCATAATGAAAGAGGTGTCTTCCCACTCAAGGCGCTTTTCTCACACCTCTCTCTCTAGTGTCTATCCGACCAAGCGTTATCGTCACATAAACATCTGCGAATTTTATTTCTTTTCAACTTTGATGTCCACGGTTTCCATTTTTCTTTGGTAGGTTTACTCGTTTTAAATTTTTGTGAAGGTAAACCGAATAGAAAGCACTCCAAGGAATGTCTCCACAGTACTCTGCGTAGCTACTGTACTGTGGATGACTAATGGGATATCAATTTTGGAATTTTATCCTTGTATGGAAGGTTTGGAAACTGAGGCCCGGTGATCCAACACCTGTCTAACTGGAGTTTGTGTGGTTGCGTATGCATGAACTCTGTGCGGGGAAAACGCACTGCTGCGATTCGATTTTTCATCTTTCTGATATTGCGACCTCTACCATCGGAGTTGCCTCTGAAGAAAGTCTCGCACAGACCGAACTTGCCATAGACGAGTTATTCCCAACTTTTTCCAAGCTTAATGATAATTGAAGTTATTGCAGTCGGCGTCCTGATGCTTGCCTATCCACGAAACCCCTTGATGGTTGCATGTGGTTACATAGCTCTTGGTTTCATTGCAATGCAATTGTTGGTGTTGTGTGAATTTTTCATTCAACAGTACATCTGCCCTACTCCAAACTGTTTCTCTTTCGCCGTCTCACTACTTTCACCGTGGGCGGGTCTTTGGCATATACATTCCTACTAATCCTTTGCCGACCCGTACCGAGGTTGATAATGGCACTCTCATGTCTCTATCCTTCTCTTAAACCCTCTAATATATGCACGCCGTATTAAGTGCTTTCAGGTTCCTGGTACCTCGCAATCTGAATGTCTCAAAATCGTATTTTTTGAAAACCGACTTGCCACTATGTTTGAATCAGGCTCCGGCCCGTCGCAATTCCTTGAGGAACTCGATACCGCAGAACAAATCGTAACAATCGCAGTATGATGCAGGAACGCACTCAACGAATTTGGAACGCCAACCCCAATAATTATTGTAGCATAATTGTTCAGGGAACCAAAAACAGGTCTCATCGACATACGCTATGTTTGTATTTTTTTTATACAGGAACGGCGAAAGATGAAAAAGCTTCTCGCTTCCAGAGCGAGACTTTCGTCGCTCGTATGGCATTAGTCCTGATCTGTGATCTACCATTTATGCGTTACAGTATGTCCCATCTACTGTTATGTCGCGTCACGCTTTTCAAAGGCTTTTGATCATTTTTGAATCGCATGCATTTTTTTGTTTAACCGGCAAGACAGCAGAGAGAGAAAATGCCCTTGGACGGGACGGAGACGAGTATCTGAACATCAAACAGCTATCTGCGGCGAAGAAATACTTTTTCTGTCGCAGGACCGACAGGAGACTACCGCGAGGCAGCATCCAGCGGAGCAGAAAGCTGAGACCAGGAAGATCGTTTGGACGCAGATAAGATGATTTACTTGGGTACTGCCCCGTCACATTGATGAGTCCGTGTAGGAAAATTGTCACAATTGTAACTTGAATGGGCGCAAATCATGGCTGTTTTAAATTAGTATTAGCAGGAAACGTGCCGAGACGTGCCGAGACGCGTTTATCTTTATCACTACCCTGGATCTATGGAAGGTCGATACAGACAGATTGGCCGCGAGGTCTTTTTCCGAGGCACATACATTGACGATTGAAACACTCACGGAAGAGAGAGCCTGGGGAGTTGTTGCGGTAACAGAAGGTAGTAAGGTATTGATGATGGGTGAAAAGTAGAGGAGAACCAAATCCCTGGTCGAAACGGCGTTTACCGGAAGTATGCTGCGCAATTCAAGTAAATAGATTAAACGATTCATGACCTCTGTAAACTATTTCAAATTTTCTCAAGATCTACTACAAGCAGTGCGTCTGGCATTTTGTATTATGATAATTGAAGCAAGGTCGTCTTCGGTAATTATAGTATTCATCATTTTGTCATGAAAAGGCTCTCACGTTGAAGGCTTTTTGTCTCCCATACATCTCTGGTATTTTGTGACAAGGACTACTCGATGTTATTGCAATATTTTCAGGGCGACCCTTTTTTCTATCTGTCATGATTGTGGGACCTGTGCTGCCCTGTGCTATAGCTGTACCTGGAAACGGCCTGATGTGAAAAGGCTCGACTACACTGCATTGTTAAGGGATTCACTAACGCAATTTTATATTTCTTTTTAGCTCGCACTTCGCATATTTTAGTTTTTGATGAGCGCTATGGACCTTCGTGGAATTGCAGGCTTCCCTACGAGCATGAAATATGACTTGGGGAAGTCGAGAAAGCTACGTTTATAAAATGAGCTCAACCTGAAGTCAGTACAAAGCCTTGGGAGCTTTCCTGCAGTTCAATGCAGCTCTGTACACATACGGTACTTCGGCTCCATCAACTACAATACTGTACATATTGTACCAACGGGTTGTGGGAGCTACATTTACACATTTGTTCTGAAGCCCATCATTATCATTAGAACTACGTTCTTTACAAAATTGTGGGCATTAGAGACTTCACAAAGACACAGATCTACTATACAGTACCAAAGATCCAGTGCTACCCGCATACTGTACGTGTACAGTGTCGATGTGGAGATGGTTGAGGTATGAGAGGGGAAGGATACTAAGGATTCTGGACTGGCGGCGACGGCCGCTCTGTGACCTCGCGCCCTCCGGGTTGTCGAAATATACAGTATAGCTCTACTGTGCTCGCCCCTCGGCGTTCGGCCGAGGTTCCAGCGCTGGCCGCCCCTGCCGCCACAGCAGCGGCAGGGCCTAATGGGTATGACGATGGAGGGGCGGTGTCGGACGAAACTAATGACCACTACGTGGTCTCGGCGTTAGCCGGGCTCTACAAGGGTAAGCGCGGTCTGGTAGCCCGAGTAAACTTCACCTTTCTCTAACTCTCTTTTCGGGACCCCTCTCTTTTGCTTGTCTCCGGACCAGATTGTCATACGGGGCGTTTCATAAATACTGTATACTGTAGCCGTTTCGAGCAAAATGCCCTACTGTAGCCTGAACAGCGCCTGTACATCGGCTACTGTATAATATTGCAACGCACGTATGAGACCATAAAGTGTTCCGTACAGTACCGTACATGGAAACGTGGTACAGGGTACAGTACAGGGGGGGTCGCGATATAAGAGCAGGTTGAATAAGAGCGACCTCGCAATAAGAGCACCATTTTCGCTTGACACGGTATCATAACTTCGAGCACCATTACACATTGTAATTACAGTGTTGTACTTACCTTCACACAGGCCTTTCCTCGGCTGGTATTTGAAACCCATCTTAGAGGTCTCCCTCATGTGAGGGAGACCTCTAAGATGGGTTTCAAATGGTACGGGAGGACAGATCAGCGAGCGCCCGTACCATTCCTCCGCCGCACAGATAAATACGGTGCCTCAAAATGACATTCCACTTTCCACAGATGGCGCGCGACTCGCTTAAGAGGCGCAAGCGCCTTTCGTTGAAAGAGAAATCCGAGGCTGCGCGTTGTCTCCAGAACGGCGCAAGCGCTTCTTCGGTGATGAAGCGTTTTGGAATTGGACGCAGCACAGTCACAAACATTAAGTCGAACCTCTCTGTGTTGATCTCAAAGGCTCACGCACATGGTGCCTCACTAGACGCAAAAAGCTTACGCACTCCGCCCCTTCTGGAACTCGAGGCAGAAGTCCGCTAGAAAAACTTGCTGATGATTGCAACGTAACAGAGGTTGGGATGTTGTTACGGAGAGTGAGAAGCGTGTTTGCGCGCTTACGAGGGAGTGCTGCTGTGCACGGGTCCAGGCAACTGCTTATTGGTGAGATGCTACAGCGATCTGGGTAGTAAAATGGACATCCTGTGCCAAATTCTTGAATAACAGCAACCTCGGAATAAGAGCAGATGAAGGGGGTGGCACGGGGTGCTCTTATATCGTGGTCCTGACTGTACAATATTTTGCAGCCTGTGATCTGTACAATCACGTCACAGAACTGAGTCAGAGCTCAGTAGTGATCATTTGTGGTTGTTCTTCCATACTGGGAGCCTCCGGAAATTATTTTTTGTGTCAAGAGTCATAGTTTTCCTTTTTGTGCACACAAAATGATTTTTGTCACGGAATGTTTGGGCACACAATGTGCGTCCCCCTTCTGTACGCACGTTTTGAACTCACCGGACGCCGACGATGACGCCGTCAGAGCTCTAACTACAGAAAAGTTGGATTGCACACGCGCGCATTGTGGCATTCGTGCGATACGCATTTAACCTATATCCGCCGCTGTAATGGCCGGCGCGGCCCCTGGGCGCGCCGCGGCGGACGCGCCAAAGATGCGGCGCACGGCGTGAGGCGCCGCGGCGTCTTATCCTAACCTACATGGGGCCGCCCGTCCGAGAAAACGGCGCGTTATGTGTGCACAACGCGCCGTTTGCGTGTCAAAAAATCCCGATTTGGTCAACACAATTTGCGATTTTAGGATTTCAGGAAGCCCCCACTCAAGACAACTCCGGACATTCACAATTGCTTTCTTCCACACGAAAACCATGAGAGTGCCCGTCATTCCCAGGTAGAGGCGCATGCACGCATGTTAATTTTATGCACTGCATTCCGACACTGCACGCAAATCAAAACTTCACCAATGTCCTATCCAAACATCCAAGGTTGGGTGGGGAAAGCAGTCACGTTCAGCTACCCTGGGGTGCCTATGAAATTGGGGGAACTTCCTGATAAACTTTTTCTCCCAGTAGGTATCTTCCACTCAGCTGGAAACTATGCGGCGTTGCGTATCAAAAAGAAAAAGACCTGCGTAGGTCGACGCCCTCTTAAGGAAACCAAATCCGCTTTGCTTGCATTATCAATTTCGAAAGCTACAGAATTCCAGATCTTTCTCTGCTATCCAAGGTCAAGTGCGCTGTCGCTCAACCGGCGGCTGAGCATTTACGATATTGACCGAACCTCCTTCACAAAGCAAGACCACGCGAAGTTCTCTGAAGCAACCGCTTTCTGTCTTCTCATAGACAGCGTGATTGTAGCGAGAGTTTTTATATTCCCTCTTGCTCTGCGGAAGCCATCCCGTTGACTTTTTCTTGCTCCATTGCATCGACGCGTTCCATTCGTTTCACGAGTATTCCACCTGATTTTATTTCGGGTGGCGCTACTGAGTTGTCTGAATTATTGTCCGACCGGTGCTGTCCTCCCGGAAAAAGCAAATCTGGTGAAGATTGCTTCATACCCGTTGTCGCAATACAAGTAATTGGCGGCAATGGTCAGGTGTGCTGAGGGCTGCGTCTCAAAAAGTTCCCTCTTACAGAAATTCGATACCGCGAAGAACCTTTGTGCTGGATGTTGGCTCCTTTTCCTTGTGGGAGCTCTGTACTCCTTAGGTGTGTTCAATGAATCTGTGGAAGAAACGGCGACGACAGAGGGTGATTTAGACGGTGTAGTGTCCTCCTCTATGGTATACATGAGTCTTCTCTCAATGCCAGTGATGCTGCTTGTCGGAGTGGTCCTCAGTGGCGAAGAAGAAAACACACGATATGCTGCCTTGCCTATGCGCTTCTCAAAGACACAGAAAATCCGAATAGCCTCTGCTATAGGTTCCCTACTATTCGGAACTATCGGTTTAGGTGGTATTGGCGTCTCAATGGGAAGTAAATCGCTGATGATTATTGCAGTTACTCTCCAAGGAATTCCCTTCGCCATATGTATGTTAAGGCATGTTACCTTCGGCTGCTGTTCGTTGACACCTGGTTTACAAATTGCAACTTGCTGACGTTCTTGTGAAATTCTTGATAACAATTTGTGCAAGAAGACTATCTCATTTCTTTAGAGCTGCTCGCAGCTTGGTCGCCAGCACGACCAGGCCTCGCAGTTGGTCTTGGGAATCTTGCATATGGTCTGGGGACAATTGCCTTCTCTGGATTATTTGAGTATCTCTTGGAACGTGTTAAGTGCAGCACCGCTCTTTTTATAACAGGTATCGCTCTTGTGTTCTTTTCAGCACCAAGCATTGCACTTCTAAGTTGGCCGTGCAAGAAATGCTCCACACAAGGAGGTTTTCCGGAGAGCTACGCTGATGTCGATGACGAAGGGGAACTTATATCTTGGAGGAAACTGCCATTCCTTATCCCTTTCTGGCACTACGTGCTAGCAATTTTCGCGGGTCAAACAGGATATGCGTTCATTCCGTATTTCTTCAACATTGGAAGAAGCTTCGGCATGTCGTCAACCACAGTCATTAGGTCCTATCAGATTGCCATTACTTGCTCTACTGTGTTTCGGTTGCTGGTCGGGGTGCTCTCAGATTGCTTGAAGTGGGGAAATGGATTTTTTTCCATTGGGTCGAAGAATGTGACACTACTCTTATTCATCATGCAGTCATTTTCATACATTGCACTTATTTCATTCTCCCAGACCTTGAACTACGATGGATTCGTATTCTCCGCTTCGGTAATTCTTATGGTTTTCGCAGGGGTTGCGGTAGAATCGGCAGTTTTGGCCCGTGACATATTCTCTCCTTCAAATAGCTCCCTCATATTCGGGGTTGGGGCAAGCATAGCAATGGGTATTGGTGAAGTTATGTCTGGGAAGATAATGGCTGCCGTTGACCTTAGTGCCCGTTCCGCTGAGCTGTCGCCAGAGAAGTACAACATGTTTTATGTAATCGGTGTTGTTTTAAGCATTCAGGGATTCTTGGTATGCATCATGCTTCGGAGGTACAAAGCACCAAGAAGGAGTATTGTCACATACTCTGAGACTGTATTGAACGGGGTAACTGCTCTCAAAGCGGACGAAGCAAGCTCCCTCTCGACCTTGTATGGTGCAGTGCAAAGGGAAGAAACTCCTCTGTAACAGGATCGCACGCCAAGTTTGTGGACAGGCGCGAGAAGTACTGAACAGCGAAGTAGAATCGGTTCTCTTTGCTAATGACGTGGGGCCAGAACGAACCAGTTATCCTTCAGCTACTGAGCAAGCAGGGCTCGTGTCAAGGCAGGGATTGGTCATAGTACAAAACAAATTTTCCCATACAAATTTTCTAACAGGGAACAGTAGTTCTATGGCTTCCCTCATAACACGTTGGCATGGCATGCCGAAACATGTATTGAAAACAAAATGTGGAACTGAAAGTTTAGAAGAGTCAGTCTGAACTGCAGCGGGTCGAGAAGGTTGTTCATCCACTCAAAACCCGACGAAAGCCGAATGATGTCGTTTCTGAGGGTTGAGTGGTGCAACACAAAGCCAAGCACAAGAGCCCGCTAGAAAGAAGGACGGTGCGGCGCCGTCATCGCAAAGAAGACGCTAGCGTTGACGCTGAATGATGTGTCGAGACATATATTGTGATGGGAAGAAGCGCGAAAGAGGTTGTTTGTCTCGTGATAACGAAGACCTTTATTTGAAGCTCCTCATCTGTTTTCGTTTCCGAATGTGTCTCATCGACTGCCCACAACGGCAGCATATACAGAGACATATACAGAGATACAAATAACTCAAAGCCCGCGCGATCTACCCCAAAACCATAACCAACTACTCGACAAGTTCGTACAGCACATACACTATCACTTCGACATCAAGCTCGCCGGGCGACACGGACAGAGTTTCTCGAGCCGCAAATTCTCCGTTCGGGAGGGTAGCACCATTGTCCGATCCCCCCGCGATCGCCGTCTCGCTAATCGCGAGCACTTTCCCTACTTTCACGCCTGCGCTTTTCGCAAACAACTCAGCCTTCCTCGCGGCGTCTGCTACAGCCAGCTTCCTCGCGGTGTCCTTGCCCATCTGCGAATCCTGCAGCCCAAACGTGATTCCGTAGATCTCATTGCTCCCCGCACGCACCAGGGCGTCCAGGATCTCCCCCACCATGGCCACATCGCGCACCTTGATCGTGACCTGGTTAGACACTGTGTACACGCGCATCCTGCTGTCCCCACGCCCTCGGAAATCCTGGAACACGTCGAAGGACGACGTTTGTACGTCCTTATCTGCGATGCCCTTCTCCTTAACTACGGCCACGAGACGTACGAACTTGCGGTTGTTGTCCGTCAACGCTGTCACCGCCGACTTGGCCGTCGTCGTCACCCCGGCCTCCAACGTAACCTGGTCGGGGGGCAGGTTCGAGGTACCTTCGCCCACGACGTTGATCGTGCGAGCGTGTGCTGTTAGGAGCAGTGTCGCGAAGAGGAGGAGTGCGGTTCTCATGTTGCTGACGTATGTACTTGGTGGGTTTGATGAGGTATTTCGCACCATCTGCTGCTTGAGATGATGCGAAGGAGCAGGACAATCGGAGGATGGGTCGCTACATATAGTGCAGAGCCTCCCATCGTTGGTGTCGTCAAGATTGGGGTTGGAGGGCGGAAAGCGCGATTAGTTGAGAAACGAGAGAAAGATGATGAGGCGTTTGCCACGTCGACTGAGAAGGAGAACCCTGGTATGAAGAAGAAGTGGGAGATGCAAGTAGAAACCCCCAGAGCGACGGGAGCGTCAGACGTCGGGAGATCCAACTGTAGAGAGGCTGGGGACATGCATCGTAGCGATGGTGATGATAGAGTATGATTAGAGGCTGCAGATCAGCACACTCCTGCGCTTTCTCTACAATGCACTGGGACGTTTTCTTCACATTACACATGGGGGATTTGGGAACAGAGATGGGCAGATGGGAGAAGGTACATTCTATTGGATGGCTCGTGGGATGGGGCCGGTTGCGTTCTTCAGGGTAGTTTATCAAAGTGGAGACGCTTGAGGTTTGGTAGGATGCAGAGGCCTGTGTGCAGACGCGAGGTACAGTACGCCTCCCACCTGTCGAAGGCACGAAGCCCCGTCGGAGGTATATGATTAATGATAGGTACAGTTGAGGGAAGGGTAAACAAATCCCGCGTGCGCTACAGGTAGGCAGGGTGCGCGGGTGCGAGAAACTCTAGTCATCGCACTGCAAAGAAGAGGGGGGGTGGGAATATCGGACACAGTTTACATATAACCGCATTCTTCAACAGTACTCCATGGTGCAAAAGACATTACACTATTGTACAGTAAAGACTGGTTCAGTGCTGCACCAGTCTTTACGGAAGATTTGATGTGCCGGACTGTAGAAGTTAGTCAAACAAATTGAGGTACAGACCGTACATGTAGCGGAATATCATGATCGGTGGTGGCTGCATGGAGGAGGAAGCAGCAAATGATTAGTTTCTGCGCTGTGGTAAGCCCTGCAATTGGTGAGTTGCAACTCATGGGAGCCTACACTGTGTACCGCTTTTCTGCTAATAATTCATGAAGCACTTTGCTCGTTTAGAACAAAAACGTGGACACAATTTCTCCAGCGTTTTTGCCTGCGTATGCGATTGCAGGGGATGAAGAAGATGAATCGATACCCGTTTTTTACTCCGAGACAAGCGGTCTTGTTCAAATGTACTGTAGGGCACTTTGCGCGGTCGCACGGCGGCGGCGGGCGCGTCTGGCGCCTCAGTGTGTGGTCGTACAGATGTGGACTAAAGGACGTACTATCGTAGGAGTAGGTACTACTTAATTGCATGACACGGAGAAATGAAAACAGCGTCGACTCTGGGGAGGAGGTTCTGGTCTACTTGGCGGCACACTGCGGTACGAATATCCGGCAGAGCATCAGGTCCGCAGTTTTCGAATATATTGGAAGGCGAGGAATCCACTGAAGTTTCAAGCGTGCGTTGGACCCATAAAGATTGAATCAAAGTGCCAAGACCTGAAGACACCAAGTTTCACGGTTGTTCAAAAGTGCATCTTCACCAGACTTTCCTAGAAAGAACCGTGACGGGTAGGCACTTCTCACCGGACCTCTTCAGCCGAAAAAGGAACTCAGTTGCGGTGACGAGGCACCTTCCTTCACCTACTGCTTAAACGTCAGCCTTAAACAAATATGTTGAAATGCGACCTCATATGAGGCCCTTCGCTTCATAATACTTCAGATCTGCATTGTACTGTAAGCTAGTGTAACAAGGAGATATATCTGAGATCATGGAGAACCTTCATAAAGCCTTTCTGATTGGGGTTTTCCAGTCATCATTTTGCAAACTTTCCGATCTATCGTTGACCCCTCAGATCTTCTTTTGACCTCACGACCGCTCCTACAGAAGTGGTTTCTCTATTCATGAATGACGAGCTTTGAACTACGCCACATACACATTATATCTCTCTTTCCATTAGCGTCAGCTGGAAGGCAGTCTTTGCGCATCAAGCAGATCGGTACCGATTGAGGGCTAGCCGGAGCCCTAGCGATGACGGATAACAATGAACAACGACGGAGAAACGCATCACGGACATCTGGCTCTACAACGGCAACCGGTCTGCTTAAAGTTGTAAGTCCTGATGTTAAGTATGAGGCTGACTTCATCTATGCATCATACCCTTACAGGACAGTCAATGCTGTCGTCCAGGAGGATGGAGATGTACGGGCGGAGCCTGTCGAGCGCCTTTATCACTTTCGGACAGCGGTAAGACCTCGTAAACTTGGTTTGATGCAAGTCGGGTGGGGTGGGAACAATGGGACTACCGTAACTGCAGCTGTTGTGGCAAACCAGCAGAACATTACGTGGGAGACGAGAGCTCAGCAGCACCTCCCGAACTACAATGGATCGCTCACACAGGCATCCACTATGCGAGTGGGCTTTGATGCGCAAGGGAGAGACATTTTTGTCCCCATGAAATCAGTTTTGCCGATGGTAGAACCCAACGACATTGTGCTGGGGGGTTGGGATATATCGGGGTGCAACTTAGCCGACGCCATGGATAAGGCCAAGGTCCTCGAGCCGGATTTAAGAAGCAAGTTGCGACCATTCATGGAAGACATGGTGCCCCTGCGGGCTGCGTTTGACCAACAGTTTATTGCAAAGAATCAGCAACCTCGTGCAACTAATATCTTGTCAACGTCCGATAAAGGGGAGCAACTCGAACAATTGCGCAAGGATATTCGAAATTTCAAGTCCACCAAGGAGTTGGAATATGTCGTCATCATTTGGACGGGAAACTCGGAACGTTATGCCACCGAAATAACTGGAGTAAACGATACTGCCAGCAACCTAATGACTGCAATCAAAGAGTCACATCAAGAGGTATCTCCTTCGACGTTATACTGCGTTGCAGCAATTCTTGAAGGGTGTCCATACGTAAACGGATCTCCTCAAAACACATTTGTCCCAGGTGTCGTGGAACTTGCTCGCGAAAGAAACGTGATGATATGTGGCGATGATTTCAAGTCAGGACAGACGAAGATGAAGTCTGTTCTGGTAGACTATTTGATCGGGTGTGGTTTCAAGATCAAGACGATGGTAACATATAACCATCTCGGAAACAACGACATGTATCAACTCACGGATGAAGTGATGTGGAAGCCTAAATCAGCCTCCAAGTCGAGAGTAGTCGAAGATATTGTCGACTCAAATGGAGTTCTATACAAAGGAAATGAAGATTCAATCGATCATATTGTCGTTGTGAAGTACGTACCCTTTCTAGGAGACTCCAAGCGAGACGTGTCAGAGTATACATCTGAGGGGTTCATGGACGGACACTACACAACTATAATGCACAATGAATGTCTTGATTCTGCCTTGTGTGCACCATTGATCCTTGACTTGGCGATATTCGTCGAACTATTTTCTAGGGTTCAGTATGCTGTTGAGGAAGGGGACGCAGGCTTGAGGAAAGACAAGTATAGCGGAATGGAAACAGCTCTCAGCGTGCTCGGATTTTACATGAAGATTCCGCGAGTACCACCCGGCGAACCAATTGTAAGCGCACTGGGAAGGCAGAAGGCATGTATTGAAAATCTGCTGCGGGCTCTTGTTGGACTACCACCAGAGAACAATCTCCTGTTAGAGAGAAAGTGCCCTTTCTAGACAAAGGCAAGATCAAATTTGTAAGAAACATTTACATATGTTACAGAATGTTGCGAATAGGTGGCAGTGACAGCGTTCGCGCTTTCCTAAAGCCTTGCACCAGTATGGGGTAGCAGTTGAGATTACCGCAAGTGGTCATAGCTTATTCAGTCAACTATGAATGGTTGTGATATTTGGCTCGGACTGCCCTCACTTGTATCTTCACGAATTTAATGGAACCTTTCCTACGAAAAGAAAGCTCTACAGTATGCCAAGAGTACGTGCCATAAGCTCGACTTGTTCAGGAATATTGTACCCAGTCCAATATTCGGTGAGCAAGCCCGTGACGATAAAAAACATAGCCAGTCTTCCGTTGAGAGTCTCTGCGTAGGGGACCCAACCAAACAATCTTGATGCCTCCCTTTCTTCTTCAATTCGCTTCTTTCGCAGCTCCGCAGAATACTGTTCGAGGGCTGTGCGCTGCTTCGCAAGTGCGATTTCGTCAAGGGTAATCTTTCCCGGCACGCGCTCGGAAAAGTCGTCTGACGTCGGCTTGGTGGGTTCCGAAGGCGTTGACGGCACAGCCTCAGGCGCGGCGTCACCTCCCTGAATTACTTCTACGGCATTATCTGCCTCGGCGGCGGCATCTGTCTCAGGTCCTGATGCTGCTGCTCGTGCGCGGCGGATTGATAATCGTGCGGGCACTGCCGGTCGGGAGCGGCATACCGACTTAGATTGGAGAGATCGACCAGCAAAGGTTGTCACACTTTGTGCGAAGCAAGGTGAAGCAACCATCCTGACAAGCAACTTGTGTGAACCCGTCCACTAGCCCAAGTTTAGCGGGATGGCTCGCGAAGAGATGACGTGGTGTAGCGGAACTAGAACGACAGCGGAAGCGTGGGGCCTGAAGTCGTGATGCGGCCGCTTGGACTGGAGAATTTGGGAGTACTGAAGAGGAGCCAGCGAGTTATCCACGATATGTGATCTTCGTGGTCTGCGTGCACTGGAGGCGGTTCAACAGACGTCCGGGCCATCTTTTGACCCAATAGAATTGCTTCACTTCCTTTTTAAACCAGTCTAACTCGAACACGTGACCTTTGAAAGAGCATCAAACCTGATCTCCCAGGACCACTCTAATTTCAGCACTGGCCACTAATTTTCGGGAATGCCTAAGAAAGAGGTACCGTTACGGTACCTTTACAAGACAAGAGCCAACGACAATGACATTTCGTAACATTCACACTGCATAGAGATACACGAGGCGCTCGAACACCCTTTGGAAGCCTTGTTGCGACAGAGGGAGCTGTCTCACATCTTTGGACGGCAGTTCGATTTCCACAGGTTGTTGCTGCTCAAACACATTTTCAATGTCTACGAACGGGGGGGCCCGCCCAACCGCTATCGTCATGGGCGGAAGCTTGGGTGGTATGTATGCTGCCGTCTGGCTTGAAAGGGCAGGATTTCAAGTAACCGTCTTTGAACGCTCCGCGTCCATGCTATCAAACAAAGGGGCTGGGATTGTTCTGCATCCTTGTTCTGCGCGCTACTTTAACATTTGCACGGACCTCGACCTTTCCTGCATGAGCTTAAAAGTTTCCTCCTTAGTGTACTTGCCCGAAGAGTCGCCTTCCCCGGATCCAGCATGTTTCCGCTTCGCCTCCTATAACTCAATCCTAACCGCTTTAAAATTCCACTTTCCGGCGGAACAGTATCGCGCGGGAAACGCAGTAAGAAGCATTTCGCAAACCGATGAACAAGTCTTGGTGACGCTGCAAGATGGGACTGTTTCCACGGCAAGCCTTCTCGTCTGCGCAGACGGTACGTCTTCGACAGCAAGAGAGATGCTCAGTGCAGAAGTCAGCAAAGACTACGCTGGCTACTTCGCTTGGCGCGGTCTAGTGGAACAAAGTTTACTTTCCCTCAAAGCATCAGACGCACTCAAGTCCAAGGCGCACATGCACCTCACTCCGGATGGACACATGCTATCCTACCCAATACCTGTCATTTCGGATGACTTGAAGCTGCAGACAGTATACGTCAACTGGCTGTGGTATCGCAACACATCCAGCGAAGAGCTTGCCAAAGTGCTTGTAGATAAACACGGCATCAGGCGGAAGGACTCAGTACCTCCTGGGCTGGTGCGGGATGAGCTTGTCACCAATCTCCGCGAAGAAGTGGAGGCAATGCCCGAGCCCTTCCGCGAGCTTGTGCGGAAGACAGAGGCACCCTTCGTGCAAATCATTTTTGACCAGGCAGTAAAGCAAATGGCCTTTGGACGCGTGTGTCTACTGGGTGACGCAGCCTTTGCGCCCCGACCTCACATCGCTGTGGGGACCGCAAAAGCTGCTGAGGATGCCTGGGAGCTTCAAAATTCGTTGAAGGAGAATGGCGGAGATGTCGTCAGCGCGCTGCGGATATATGAGGAGAAGCAAATGAAGCTGGGGACTTTTTGTGTGCAAAGATCAAAGGAATTGGGAAATAGAATGCAGAGGCTTGAAGGTACATGGGAGCAGGGTCGCATGCTGGAAGTCGGATTGTTCAAGATCGGTGATAGCAGCATGTGATTTCGTGGTGTACCCTAAGCAGCTGCATTTGGCATGAAGACCGGCATTTGTGCCACCTAAAAGCATGCATTCGAAACCGCATCTCCTTTGAGAAAGGATAAGGTGTGTGTTTGGGAACGAAAGAGGTGCTCCTCGCGAGATATCTGTTTCAACTCTCATGGTTGCAGGGGTATTGGATCGCCTGTGCCCTGGAACCAAACCATCTCCGCTCTTTTCCAACACCAAAGCTGAGGCAATGTGGAACAAACATAGACACACCTGGAATGGGCGTTTCCTGTTTGCTTTCCTGTACAGTGAACAAGTACCAGTCCCCCGTCCGAAGCATCCTCCATGCGCTGCACGAGGGATGGGACAACAACGAATCGAAAGCCTTCCAGTTCGAAAGTGAATAGGGGCACTGTTCCCACGAAGGACACAGAAGAATCATCGCTTTACGGTGCTGTCTCGATACCCCAACGACTCTGGCTTCTTGGTTACTGTACCGTTGGTACTGTACAATACTGCTGGAAGAGCTGAATTCTGGACTACGTGTCAAAATATGAGACCTCACAGGCGTCCCAAGCGCGTGCTCCTGCCTACATTGCGGTTCGCAGGGGACGCGCGGACGCGGGAAACTGGGACGAAGGGAACTGCGGTCCCAACGGACAGTGTGATCAGGGTTGGCAAAGATGGTAAAGGGCCTTTTGGAGGGGAGCGCAGGCGGTGGAGAGCTGTAGGAAATAGAGGGCGCGCGGATGGAGGGAATCGAAGCGAAAGCGGACCAGTATCAGTGGGTGTGTGGTGAGCCCGCTGTCGGGCCGAGGAAAGCGAAAGTAGGGACGGCAGATGGTGAGTTCTTTGACGGGCGTCGAAGCGAAAGGAGAAAGAAAACGAAGGAGACAGCACTGGCACGAAGCGCAGTATTCGGGCAAAGAGGAAACTTGTGAAGCCAGCATTTAAGACTTCGATAGATAGAGAATAACGATGGAGGACACAGAGGAAAAGAAGAAGGAAGGATCAGAAGGGCTTTTGACAAGAAAATCAGTACAGTACAAGTGGGCTCCGTGCGCGCTTCGCAGGCCAAGCCAAGTCCCTTCCTCCTCCGCTCCTCGTTCTGCACACGCTGTCGTTCCCCGCCCCGCTGCTCCCCCTCCCCCTGCGCTAACTCTCCCGTCTTCTCTCCGGTCTTTGTCGCCCCTTGCCCCCTCGTCCTGCCACACGTTACTCGCCCCTGCGCGTCGCGCCCGGTCCGCGCCGTCGCCCTCTGCGCCGCCGCCCGCCTGTGTCCCCTCCCCCCCCGGCCGCGGTTCGGTCCCTGCAGCCCGCAAACATGGTCAGCGCCGCTGCCCTCCACGCCGCCGCTCGCTTCCGCCTAACACTGCTACCTGGCGGCGGCTCCCGGCACCCACCCGCCTGCGGGCGCCCTCCTGCACCGCCGGCTGCAACACCTGCCCGGCTCTCAGCGACCACTTTCCCCGTTCTTCGCACCTCCGTGATGCGCGCGGCCCGCGCCGCCGCCCTCCGCGCCACCGCTCTCACCACTACCTCGACCGCCCCTTCCTAAGCGCACCCGTCCACCACGTCCCCGCGCCGCAGGCACACCCCGCCCACCAGCACGCAGAACGTCTCTGCCACGCCCGCGTCCGTCCGCCCCGGCACTGCCACCCACCACGCACGTCGCCCGCCACATCTCGCCGCGCACGGCGCTCTTCGCCGCGTGCTGCCCGCTCATGTTGCGCAGAAGCTCCACGCAACTCGCCACCACGCGCGCGTCGCCCGCCTGCCGGTCCAGCAGAGTCTCCGCCGCCGCTTGGAACCGCTTTGCGTGGAGTTGCATGCACACCGCGTCCGCGATCTCGCGCGCACGCCCGTCCCACCCGCCGCACTCGCCCACCACGGCGTCAACGCCTGCCTCTGCTGCTACCCGGCACACCACGTCCGTCACCGTCTCTGAGCAACCCAGTTAGCGCCCGCTCGCCGTCGCGACTCCCCCGCCCCCCAACACGCGCGCCCGGTTGAAGCCCGCTCGCCGTCCCGCCTCCCCCGCCCCCCGGCACGCGCGCCCGGTTGAAGACCCT